TAGTATTTTTTTAAAAGGCAGTATATATTTTAAAGACATGTATCTTAGATGTATACAAGATTTGCCTTTATATAGTAAATCTTATTTTTTATGCCCTTATCTCTAAATCTTCATTTATAAAAATGGCCATATGTGCAACTATTGCACATGGAATTCCAATAGTGACAAAAGACTGACCAATGATCAATTTTATAAGGGTAGACAGTGGTCCTGATTGTGGAGGAAATGGGTTGATAAGAGTTGGATTTTAAGAGTTCAAAATTTTAATTACTGCCACTAGCAAGAACAGTATTGGCCCAATTGAAAATACATTTAACTTCAAATACTCCCGATAAAAAAGGCTTTGTGGTTAAGTTCACTATACTCTACATCCATATTTGAGAAACCAAATTATTAACCTATGGCATTCAGAATTTCAGACACTTAGCTGATTCACCTATATTAATGTAATCAATTACTATAGATACACAGATTCTAAAACTAAAGTCTAAGCAAAAAATTAATTTTCAGTATATTTACAGATGATGTTAACTTGACTTTTCTTTTAAAGTATTCATCTTTGAAGCCTTCAAAAACATAAAATAAGGCACTCGTTGTGAGAAGGGCATAAAGACCTCAATGCCTCTAAATAAAATCTAATAAAATTAATCAATAGCTCCTTTGTTTACTCTAGTTTCTAAATGATCGCTTTTTTACAGATAACTTTCACTTCAACAATTAAATTAGGCCTCTTTCAGTTGCTGGGGCTTAAGAACTGGAATTATATTGTTCCTACAATTTTATGTCAATGAAAATTTTTGAAGAATGAAATTAGTATTTCATAAAAAATTTTTACTTCCTAAAAAAAGATACATCTAGAGTATTTTGTCTTGTGTTTCTTAAAGCAATGTAATAGAAAATCATTATCTCTGAACAAAAAACACATAGAAATTAAAAGCTCAATATGATCAACCAATCAAGAATTAAGAGTTCCTAGCACAAAGCTAGACCCTCTAAGTGTTCAAACATGTTTTACATTATTCTTGCCTTTGAGGAGCTTACAATCTAGTTAGAAAATTTTACTGTGCAACAGCAGCATTTTGTAATACTGATTTGACAAGTACAACTGGAGTTCAGAAAACAGAGTAGCGCATGCCAAAATAGCCTGAGAATGAATAGTAAAGGCATCAGCACCAGAAACTCTGGGCTGTAAAGGACTGGGCCCAGAGAGTGCAGTTTTCCACCCACAGCTGGGATGCTTCCAGTAGTATCCTTGAGACAGACTCTGCTTTAACACCTCCAGCAAGGAGGAGTTCACTATCGCAACAAGCAGCCCATTCCATTCTTGGATCCTTACAAGGTTTTTTTTTTTCCTTTTTTTAATTTCAATTTTTTTTATACCCCAAGTTCTCACTGCTTTACAATTGATGCAACGCACATGCAGAACTATCTACCCTGCCTTCCCTGCTCAATCACCTTTATACGGCTTCTTTAGGGCAGCAGAGAAAGGAATGACCTAGAAGACCTGTCTTTTAAAAAATCCAGTCGATCTATAAAATTTCTCCACTCTGACCAAAGCAAGAAAAGACTGTGTCCCTTCTCCTCTCCATACAGAAAGTCTCAGGCTACTGAAATCCCCCTCCAGGGGGTCCTAAAATGTTTATATATATTGGGGTAAGGAGAGAAGATGTATATCCTGAGAAGAGATGAAAAGAGAGCCAGATTTTAAGACACTTGTTCCCCAATTCCATGTAGGTAATGCTCTTACCGAGAACTTCAGTTAATGGAATAATTATTTTAAATGACTCTATTGGAAGAAAAGAAACAACTTCATCAGGCAAGTTCAAACTTTCAATACTTTTTTAAAAAGATTAGGGCCATTCCACTTATTTACTTCAAATCCTTCTTAATTCTGAAAAAGAGCCAAATGCACTAATTAAGGCCCTTTGAATAATCAAAGCATACAGAACATCTGCCCTCCATGTAAACTTTCAAGAAAGGCAACTGAAAAACAGCCATCAGTCCTGGCTGTGTCATTAACTTAACTTTGAAAGAGTCAACAAATATTTACTGTATGTTCTCTACCTGACCTCGAGGACAGTGGAGTGAACGAATCACCTCACCGCATACACCATCAGGACGATCCTGCCTCTCACTCCACACACACTTTCTGTTTGTTGAAAAGTGATGAAATACAAAGACAACATGGTGGTTTGGGTTAACTGTACTGAATATGATTATGGTACTTAACTCTGTGATCTTATTCTAAATCACTTAATATCTCTGGTCTTGTTTCCATGTCTACCAGAACCAGGGACCAGATCTGCTAGTTCTGAGTCATGATTTAACTCCCTGATCTTTATCTTCAATCCTGATTTTCACCTTAACCTCAGATTCATCAAATTTCCAACTGCCTGCTATACTTTTCCTCAAACTCGGCATGTTCTTCACCAAAAAAAAGTGTTTTCGCTGTATTCTCTATCACTGACACCACTGACTTCCCAAATCAGAGTCATTCTCAACTTTGTCAATATCACCTCCTATGACAGTTTGTTAAACCATCCCCGCTGTTTTCCAATTCTACTGCTAGTAGCCCTAGGTTAGGCTCCCAAAATTTCTTTGGTACTATTGCAATAGTTTGCTAACTGATGCCCCTGCCTCCAGCTCTACCATACCTACATCCTCAGCACCCCCAAGATAAAATAGTGTTATTTAGTGCAACATTAACAAGGTCCTCCACACCAGGCTCCTGCTCATCTCTCCAGCCTTACTTCTTATCATTATCAACCTCCTTCCCAATCATACCCAACTACTCACCCTATCCACCGCAACACCATTCTATTTCGTGCCTCCTTCCTTTGCTCACAGAGCTCCTCCCTTAT